TCGATCATTATTGGAAATAAAACCCATTAGTACCTATAATATTTATTATTTTTTTTTAAATACTGAAAAAATGTAAAATATATATAATATATTAATATATAACACTTAGGTATATCGGCGCTTATATTTATTGTTGGCAGGCCAAAGAAGGCGTTTATAAAAAATGTTGGTGCAAATGTACACCCTGCACCCCCCCAAATGACGCCCCTGGGGTCACTGTGATGGATGGTGTTAAATTTTAATTCAATGATATAATATCAATAATATCATTGTATAAGAAAAACGATTCTGATCGAATACAGTCAGTCAGCCTATGGTCTATTGATATTACTATGTATATTTGATGCGCTATTATTGTGAATCTAGTAATTTATATATTATATTATTATAACCTATATTTAATGAGAACCTATAGTTTTAAATTTTCAATCCTTAGCTTTAAAAGTTGAACATTTTATAAATTTTTAACTACAAATATAATTATTAAATTTTAAACTTGATAAATTTTCTCAAAAATCAAACTTTAAATGCTTATAAAAAAAAATTGTGCATATGTATTTTTAATATTTTCCCACTGCTATTTAAGCAATATATTAGGATCCTTGTATTAAATTTTCACACATTTTGGACCCACAAATAAAATTGTATTTATGTTTATAACAAAAAAATTTAAATTTTAAATTGTTCGTAAACAGCTTTAAAATAGTCAAAATATTTTCAAATTCTTATGGTATATAGAAAATAAGAATATAAACATACATTTAAGTTTTCAAGTATCTACAGTTATTCGTTTTTGAAATACAACAAAATTGTAACATAAGTGGGTTTCACTTCCCCCGCGTAACACAAAATTGTTTTAGATTCTGAGTGAAACGATGAATGTATTGATTTTACAATGATTGCTTTTTTGTATCATGTCGGCAATAATGTGATTCAACAGTAGAGAAACTAGATAGATGGTCTACGACATATTGTTTGTCCTCTGCTTTAATATGACTAGTTGTATTCTTGTCTCGCTTTTCATCAGGCAGAGTTAATGATAGTGGGTTCATTGATGAATGACAATTATAAATAAACTTTTGGCTAATACATAATGTGTTTAAGAAAAATTTTTTGAAGACTCTAATCAATATTTGATCAGTTTTGTAGAAATTATACAGGTAAAATTTTGTCCTTTGATTTATTTTTTACTTTTTGAAGTAACTAAGGATTTATAGTTAAGTATAAATCCAATTTTATCTTTTCTGCTGAGACTGTTGTATAAATTGTGAATACTTATTATTTTATCCATTTTGATTGGTGACTTTTCTGATAGTGATTCTTCAGAAGATGATTATTCAACTAATCTAAAATATGACAAAATTATTTTAATTTAGTTATTAAATTACATTTCGATGTATTTACAGTCTTATATTATAATTACTAAAGGACATAGATTTTTAAATGTAATTTGGGTATTCTTAGGTATAGCATACACTCTGTGCAGCAACATGTTTGCATTTATGCAATACACTTTTAGTCTACTTAAATAAGGTTAATATAAAAATTAATATAATAGTGAAACATATTACAATATTATAACTAAATATACAATAATAAATTATTCAGTGAAAATTAGTATAATATATTTAGTACATTTAATGTATACACATAAAAAATTAAGGTATTTCTAGTTCCTACTCCGTAATTATTTTGTTATTAATACATGCAGGCATTCAATAATTATATATTTATCTAATACTAATATTATGAAATGTTTTTATTCTGTGTATTTCATATTCCCATTATCATAATGAAGTATACTACTCATAAAAACATAACAAAAAACACAAATAACATGATTTTATAGCAAAAATTATAGCTAGGCACTGGTAGAATTATTTTAGCTTAAATTGGAACTATGTTTGATTAAAATAAATTATTAGTGTAGTGTAACATTACCTTGACATGTTTGTTGAATTTTCATCAATTATACCATAAGAGATGTGAGTATGTACTTTCTGAGGAGACTTTTAGAGTCCATCCAATCTCGTAACTCATTTATACTTTCAATATCATTATGTGAATCTCTAGTCTTGATGTAAACTAGGAGTACAAAAACAAAAACATTTATAAGCATAATTTAATTATATAAAAATTAATACAAGTGGAAAAATTAATTTTTGTAATAGAAATATTGAAATTTATACAGCTGTTTAAATAATAACAAAATATACCAATTTTTGTTTACAGATGATTAAAATTTAAACAATAATTGGTTAAAATAAATTATTATAGTTTAACGTTACTTTAAAATATTTGTTGAATGATCTTCAATTAAACATAAGAATTTTGAGCATGTACTTTCTGAGGAGATTCACTTTTAGAGCCCATCCAATCTTTTAATTAATTTATATTTTCAAAATCAATATCATTTTGTGAATCTCTAGAGTCTTGAAGTAAACTAGGAATACAAAAACAAAACAATTTTTAAGCATAATTTAACTATTTAAAAATTAATACAAGCCAAAAAGGTGTTCTGCTGTACAGTAGGTTACAAGTGGGTCACTGTATAATGGATAGTATTAGTGGCGTGGTGAACAGTAATTTCAGAGGCAATTGCCTCTGAGATTTTTCTTAAATAGAGGGGTGGGTGGTAGCCAGTGGGTCCCCTAGTAAATGCAATTTGATAAACTCATTAGGTTGTCACTAATGATCTGAAATATAATTAGTCATATTATTTTAATACATTATTATGCATTATTACTTGGGATATTTGTAACTTGCCTCTGGAAAATGTTAATTTCGCCACACCACTGGATGGTATTAAATTTGAATTCAATGATATAATATCATTGTATAAGAAAAACAATTCTGAGCGGAGACAATATGTCAGTCTAGGTTTAAGACATATTACATACATATATATGGTATTTTAAAAAATATTGACCTATAATAGGTACCTATAATAAATACCAAATTAATCATATCACAATTTCTATTAGGCACTTATAGTGTGTTATACATCAACAAAAAACAATTATACTTTCATAGATATATATATTAGTAAACTTTAGAAGTTTCAAGTACCCACGAATAATATTATACAATCACAACAAAATAACTAAAATAGTTATTCTAGGTTTTTCAATATGTAATTTCGTCCAAATTTGAACTTAAAATGACTATAAAAATAAGCTGTACTTGTGTATTTTTTAGACTTTTTGGTAACAGAATTAACTACTTACATGAAATCTTGTTTTAAATTTTCAATCCTTAGATATAAAACTTGAACATTTTATAAATCATCATCTCAGGTAGTACATAATCATAAAATGATCTTTCACGTCCTCTTGTATACAAATGATAACAAATACCAGGTCTTACACGACCTGCTCTACCCCGACGTTGTCTACAATTAGCTAAGCTCACCCATTCTTCATTAAAAGGTCCAATGTTATTTTCTGCATCAAATCCTTTTAATTTCATCCGGTCATTATTAATAACATAAACTACATTGTCTATGGTAACTGAAGTCTCTGCTATGTTTGTGGATAATATGATCTTACGAAAACCTATTATAATGCTAACATTAGACAAAAATGCGTTTAAAGAATTTTAATATTTAATGCTTACCCCGAGGCGGCGATTCAAAAACAGATTTTTGAGATGAAGTAGTATGTACCGAGCTACAATATAAAAAAATTATATTTATAAACAGATATCAAAATTTTTATGAAATTCTACATTTATACAATATACTTTACATGTATTTCCAAAGCCTTAGTCTTTTAAAATTTTAGTCAGTTTTGATATTTGATCCCATCCAAAAAGAAACACAAGATTGCTTCATCATCTTTATTGTTACAAATGTAGTATATGAGTTTTAAAATCAGTTTCGTAATCTGTATCTTCAGACATTGGATTTTCCAACCAATTCAATATTGCAAAAGCATATTTTTGCAATCTCTTCATTTCACTACAAAAGATTTTGTTATTTGAATATTACATTGATTATTTGTTAACAATATGTAAGTAAATATTTCTTAATATATCTTTTACATACATACTTACTTTACATAAGGAATTACAAATTCAGTGAATGGATCACCAGGTCTAATTTTGCGAGATCTTTGTGTTGGTTCATTGTAATACTTAGAAGATGCTGCAGCATTTAATGTTGCGCTCATTAATATAACTTTAAAATCAGGTCTCTTGATTTACAATACAAAAAAAAATTAGTACAATTTAAATAAAATACTACGATAGCAAGAAACATAATATGCATATAATTACAACAGGTATGATGCTCTTGAGAATAGTTAATGTAAAATCACTAATGGTGTCACGTTCGTGTATTTCATCAATGATAATATTATATGAGAAATAATTTAAAGCCGAATCTCTTTGGATATGTTGAAGTAAAATACTAGTAGTATAAAATAATATAGATCCATATTCATGACCCAATTTTCTAAAATATAATACATTATTTTAGATATTAGTTTCTTATATTTACTTAATATTATAATCATGTAAATTGAAGAATAAATCATTTATAATAAATTAATATATTTGTATTCTCTAGTAGGTATTTCTCAACTTACTGTGAAAATTTATTTAAAAATAAATGTAATATTATATATAAAATAAACAATTCATATTAACCTATGCCAATAATTAAGGTGTGTACAACTTATTAGTTTGTACCTATATGAAATTTTAGATGTTCACAATGTTCACACACTTCAATAGAACTTTATTTTGTATCAACTTGCCACTTACTCGCAATGTCCCAAATTACAGATCCAATTATTATAACAATCAGATCAATAGTGACGAGTTCTAAAATAACTTTTTGTTTCTAAATAAACAAAAATGTAGTTGATAACCATCGGGCATATAGTATCAGTGGCGCCGAACTCATATATCATGTGAAGCGATCTTTTCACTTATAATGGGTGGGTGGGTAGGTGGGTATAGGTAAGTTCTAGGGAGTAGTGGTTAATGGGTAAACAAAGTTACATAAGGTGCCTATGTTCCTCACCAACCAAATCTTTTAAGGAAATTATGGTTGATAGTAATTCACTTCCTGTAATATTACTTCCACGTATTGGTTTAACCAATGAGTACACAGATAGAAGCCTATAAACTTGAACAAACAACAATGAATCTGGATGAGAGTTGGATCCACTGGCTCCTCTCATGTGTCCAAAAAAATGCTAAAAAATGTAAAGTTAAAAGTTATTACATTTATTATCATTAAGTATATTTTATTTTTATGTTAAACACACTTCCAGAGCATCTTGGTTTAATTGTCTTGTCATTAAGTATTTATAATTCAATTTTTCCGACAAATATTGAATCAGCTCCAAAGTGTTTTTTACTGTAACGTATAATCCAAAGTACGTAGATGCTGTCATTTCATCTGCAGCGCCTACACAGAATTTCTTTTTTTTGAGTGTTGGGTCATACGATTGTATTTTTTAGTTGCTGCCATTTCATCAATTTTTTTTTAAATATTCCAAAAAATTTGTTAATGTCTGTTAAGTTGATGAAATATAAAAAAACAAAAACAAAAATATGTGCATCATGAAAATATAATTCTTTTTTTATAGATATCAAAAGATTTTCACTGAATTATGATTAGAGAGCGGATCAGGTTTTAAACCATCAGATGGCTGCTGTGAATTCATTGCATCTATAAGTTTGTTTATACTTTTTATAAACATAATTGTTGGTAAACAATTTTTTAATGATTCAATTCCTTTTTCTTTGTAGTGTTCCATTGCAGCTGCTACAGAGTGTCCAAAAAACTGAAATTAATTTTTAGTAAAATAATGAAGTGATATTAGGTACTGCAAATTGGTCAAGTTAATACATACCTGCATAGCCATTTTAACATTCATTTTTTGATAGTTGCTTGGATTTATATGGTCATTTTTGAGGATACAACAAACCTTAATGCTATACTTCTCATTTTGTTCTACAACAGCCCTCCAATGATCGAGACGCACTGTACCCTCAGGTAACTAGTTAAATTAGGAGGTATAAGAAGATTTAGAATAATTGTTAGTGAAATATGTATGTATATATCAAATTATTAATTTAATGTGTTTGATTTAAACTATGCCTTACTTCAAGAACTTTTCTAGATATTAGTCTGTGCCATAGACATTTAATCAGATGTGGGAAGTCTGAACCAAACCAGAGTTTTCTACCTGAATCAATAGGATGCATACATGATGTTGAGGATTCTGAAATTCCAAATCGGTTCCACATTGCTCTATTCTAAGTAGCACCATCTGTTGTGATAAAATCTACAAAGTAACCACTACTTTCTAGAAGAATGATTGCTTCTAAAACAATTTTTTCTAGAATTTTTCCATTCACAGCGCCTGCACCAAGAAATGCTCCAATCGGTTGTACCCAGTTGCCACGGAATGGTTGATACATCAGTACAAGTGCATGATCACCTCTTTTTGTCAAATCTTTGTTTGAAGTATGGGCACCAAGGTCAACAAAACCATGAAACTGTAAACTATCGCGTTGAAATTTTACAGCTGATTCTAATTGCATTTCATCCAGAAGTAAACAACCTAAATATTAAATTTATTTTTTACATTTTTTTCTATACCTATATGAAAATATTTAAAAATATATATATAAATATCTTTCAATTACTATGTCTTTCTGCCAAACTAAAGTCTTGAGCTTTCTCTTTCATGACTTGAAATGTGTTTTCTTGGAATCCATAAGCAGTATGCAATTTTTTGATATACCTTCCAAGTTTATTTTCTTTTCTCATTTTTCTGTAGAATTTTGGTCCCTTGATACGCATTAACAAGCATTCATATACCCATTCTAGACTATATCTTCTTCCTTTAGAGCTTTTACATTTTGCTGCATTAAAAATTGTTTTAACCATTTCTTGTTGCTCTATTGGCAGATCCAGTATGCAATCATTCAACATATCCTTAGAAACAAGGCTGCACTCTTTTTGCATTGTCCATAATTTCTGCTTAAATGTAACCAATTATATATTTGAAACAGATATAAAGTTAATACATTATAAAATACCGACAGTTGATAATAGTCTTTAACATTTTAATTATAATAGACATAATTATGAATTTGTATAAAACTGGATTGTTCATTATAAATAATTTTAAAATTAGAATATCAATATTGTAAATGTAATTTAGCAAAATTACCTAGTATATAAGTAAAGTCATTATTTTACTTACATATTTGATATTATGTATATGTATAATTAATAAAATAGGAAATATTTTTTTAAATCTATTCTAAAAAATAATTAACTTACATTATTCTTAATTCTAGTTTTTTGTTGATGTTTAGTTTTTAACTTTCTTGTTAGTCGTTGAAGTTTTTTAGCTGGTGTTAAATTTGTGGATTTTACTTTTTGCAGTTTTCTTCTTTCTGATGCACAGTTAGAACATCTTACAATTCTCGAAGAAGTTTATGAAGGATCAAAGAAACGAACACAATTTTGATTGGCGACAATTATTAACTCCTTTACATATTTTAAAGCTATCTACTTTTTGAAGTAATAGTTGCAAATCGTTTTCACTTTTTATTTCATTAACTTCAATTTGTTTATAAATAATGACTACACTTGGTAAACGATAAGTTCCTATCTTTCCGTTGTATTTTATTATTCCATACAGATAGTAAGTCCTGCAAGATAATTTTTTTTTTTTTATTTTTATAATTTTTATTTACAATCTGTTACAATAAAATGAACAATAAGTAAAATAGATAATTGAATGAATAAGTGGCTTGAGGAAAGGACGGATTTAAGAAGCCTTCCAGTGAAGACACTTTGTATGCAAGATAAATAATTTTAAAACTTTCATGTTTATACCAGAATACCTGTATTAGTTGTTATGTAGCTTTTTATATATTTATTTTGTTTTTGTTATTATTATTATTTTTTAGATTCTGAGTGAAACGATGAATGTATTGATTTTACAATGATGTGTGTTTTTTTTTTTTTTTATTTTTTTATTTTTTATTTTTTTATTTTTGTGTCTGTGTACACGATAAGTAGTCGAAATAATGCTTCGATTTTCGACTTCAGTATCTTGTTCGATTGGAAAGTGAATATCGTTGGTGCATTGGGGAGGTCAAAATTTAAAATTCCCAATAGTTTTCACAAGCGCCGGGAAAAACAACATAAAAATTAAGGAAAAACGGGAATTTTTACGCAAAATCAGTTTTTGACAAAATCGAATTTGGTTTTTGGTGTAACTTTAAAACAAATGACCGTAGATACATGAAATTTTCACTGGTTGTTTATATTTGCATTTTCTATACACGATAAAATTTTCAAAATATTTTGATTTATTTTGAACTGTTTAGGGACATTTTCATTTTCCATTTTTTTTTAGTTTTTTTTCTAAAAATATCAATAAAATTGTATTTGTTGGTTGCGAAAGCTTGAAAATTTAATAGAAGGCTCCTAATATGTTGTTTCAAAGGCAGATGAAAAATATTAAAAATCCTTAGTCACAATTTTTTTTTATAAGCATTTAAAGTTCAAAAATTGACAAAATATGGAAAAATCACGAAAATTAGCAAATTATTTTGAGTTAAGAATTCGTAAAAATTTTTCTTTTTAAATCTAAGATTTGAAAATGAAACACAAGATTCCTTATAAGATTATCTACCTTTATCAATAAAAAAATCTCTACCGGACAGTCAAATTAAATTTTTATGAGCGTTTGAAATTCAAATTTTTACAACATTGGATTTTCACTCGATTACTCATGTAGCGATTTCCTTATTTTGTTGCAATTCAAAAACGAACAACTGTAGATACATGAAAATTTCACTGAATGTTTAAATTAGCATTTTCTATACACCATACAATTTTGAAAATATTTTGACTCTTTTTGAGCTGTTTATGGACATTTACAGCTTTCAATTTTTTTTAGTTTTTTTTTCTACAATTATCAATAAAGTTTTATCTGTTGGGCCAAAAAGTGTAAAAATTTAATACAAGGCTCCTGATATATTGTTACAATAGCAGTTGAAAAATATTAAAAATACATAGGCACAGTTTTTTTTTATAAGCATTTAAAGATCGAATTTTGACAGAATTTTTCAAAATCTCGAAAATTATTAATCATCGTAATTAATAAATTCTAAAATGTTCAGTTTTTATAGCTAAGGATTGAAAATTTAAAACAAGATTCTACGTAAGTAGTTAATTCTCTTACCGAAAAATCTAAAAAATATACAATCACAGTTTATTTTTATAGTCATTTTATGTTCAAATTTGGACGAAATTACATATTAAAAAACCTAGTTATTTTGTTGTGATTATATAATATTATTCGTGGGTATACCTACTTGAAACTTCTAAAGTGTACTATTATATATCAATGATAGTATCAGGGTTTGTAATTGATCTTGATGTATAACGTGTTATAAGTACCTAATGGATATTGTGATAATGTGATATGATTAATTTGGAATTTATTATAGGTCAATTTTTTTTTTAATACCATAGATATGTATATAATTTGTCTTAAACCTAGACTGACATACCGTCTTCGCTCAGAATCGTTTTTCTTATACAATGATATTGTATCATTGAATTCAAATTTAATACCATCCATTATACAGTGACCCACTTGTAACCTACAGTACAGCAGAGCGACATCCACTTACCCACCTTTTTTTTTTTGTCTTTCTAGTTATATTTTTATTTATCCCTTTGTTATTAGTTTAATATGTGTCAATTATTATGTAATGTTTTTTTTCCTTGTTAAAGGGCGTATGTCCGTTGATTATTAATAAATAAATAATTTAGACTACATATTCAAACATTGTATTTGTTATTCTTATTAAAAATATAAAGACTCTAAGAGATAACTTAGAATGTAAGAACCCTAGAGAACATTTGATTTAAATGACATACTTAATGCAAACATTAAATTTGTATTAAAAATCAGACTGTTCTTTATTATTGATTTTTTGTATAATTAATTGTATATTTAATTATTTTAGTATTAAGTTATATACCTACTTATATGTATTGTATAGTTTTCTTTTGTCTTAAAAAAAATGTTATATAAAGATCAGTAGAATAATAAAAAAAATTGTGGACGCAGGGTTCTCCCCTGAATATGCCACTGTTGTGCACGACCTGCGGATGAGATCTGGACAGACACGCCTATGCCTACATCGAGCTCAGTACCTATGTCCTATAATACGGTCTATTGTTAAATCGTATGTTCATTTACAGAAATCTTTGTGATCTGCAATGTACTTATTCTAGTTTTCGATTTCTGTTATAGTACGCATGCCAAATTTAACTACACAGATTGCAGGTCCGCAAGTTTATGGACATTCTAATACATTCTCCCGCCAGTGCCCCTAGACACGGTGTTTGAGAAGTTATATTTTTTTGGTACCTAATTAAAATACAATATGAATTATTATAAGTTACCTATGTATCTACTTGTAAAAAAATTGACTACCGGGATTTAAATAACAAAATGTGATTTAGGTAACCTATTGGCTATTGATCTATTATAAAATAGAAACTTAACCTACCAATAATATCCCTATATAAAATAATTAAAAGTGATAATTTGAAGACGATTTCTTAAAACCCTAAAATATTTTTTTTTAATTTAGTGTCTAATCCATAAAGTTTAGCGCCCGCGCAAATTTTAAAATTTTTTTTTTCGGAAACCTATGATTTGCAACCAGTTATAACATTAATTATGTAAAAATTATTAACTTATAGCATATAAGTTTTAGAATTAATATTTACTTTTGAAATTATATAATATATAATATAATATAATATATATTATACTAATAAATTGCGCACGCCAACATTTTTAGAAAAATTAAATAGTAGGTACCTATGTAGTCACATGTAAGCCATAGTTATGTTCGAATAAATGGAATGGACAGACAAAGAAATATTATTATGTCGATCTTCAATGACTAAGTAATGATTTTACAGCTGACAACGTCTTCACCACCTTAGCCACACCACCTAACCTAACCTTAAGGCTGGGGCTATACACGGCGATATTCGCGGCGAAATTCGTCTAGCGGATTTCGCGGCGAATTCCGCTGTCATCGAAAACCTATATGATTAAATCGGGCAGGCTATAAGGCTATACGAGTTCGCCGCGAATTAATCCGCCGCGATATTCGCGGTCGGCCGACGATTTTTTTCAAAACCGCCCAATCCATAAAACCGCAAAACCGTCTATTTATATTAACTTTTAATGATAGCGGCTATACGGGTATTTTGGTTTAGCGAATTTCGCGGCGATTATTACTATACTACGGTATTTTAATACAATATTATTGTAAATTATATTATTGTAAAATCGTAAACATAATAGGTAATATATTATTTCACCAGGTACGAAAAAAGTATATATATATATTTATTTATACATATAAGTACATATTATAGAAAATGTTAATTGAATTATTATAGTATCGCGTGTCTTTCCGCCAACATCATGGCTAAAATTAAAAATTTTAAACATCGTAATGTAGTGATATAGGTCATAGGTGGTGATATACCTATTAATATTATTATAAGTTTTCATCGGGGTACGAGAATTGCATCTATTTTGTAAAACTGGATTATTACTGTTTCGGCTGTCTTTCCGTTAACATGGCCAAAAATAATATGACTATCGATTGTGAGAGATTAATAGCCGAAATACAAAATAGACCATGCATATGGGACACATCCAGTGAAGAATATAGACTAAGAGACAAAAAAACACAAGAATGGATTGCGGTAGCCGAAGGTATAAATGAAAACTGGACTGGACTTAATCAAAAAGAAAAAGATGACTATAGTGAGTAGAAAAATTAATTATTATAATAATTATATTTAGGGTTTGGATGTTTATGAAATTGAATATCATATTTCTATTTATTCAATTTAATGCTGACTCGGATACAAATTTGATTCATGTTCTACTGAATCAACCAATTCAATTTATATTTTGAGAATTGTATGGTTTTGTATTTTAAATGCATATTTTGGAATTTAAAAAATATTTCAGTACATTTCCAAACTTTTTTTCTAAAAACAATTTAAACAATCGAACTATTTAAACCAACTATAAAATTAATTTCACTGAGTTTATTTTTTTTTTTCAATTGTGTAATACAATAAATACAATTTATCACGTATTAACATATATAGTACATAATAAACTAATATGTAATATACACATTAATTTCCTGTGCATATTTTTCAGTGTTTTTAGCTAAAAATGTATATTTCATAATTTTTAGTGCATATTTGGTAATTTTTTAGTGCATCAATGCATATTAAGTATAACAATAATTTTAATTGCATAAATATCCGAATCTTAATTTATATTATATTATTAATTATTTAATAGAAATTATTTAATTCAAATCTGTAATTGAATATGCATGGATTCATAATTTATAATAACAAATATATTTTAGTGTATATTAAATGTCTTTGCATCTGCTATGGTTAATACAAAACAAATGTGTAGGAACTAATAGGTTATAGGTATATAACCTGCAAAAAATAAAAACGATTAAAATAAATACATACTTTTGCTTTTTCGACATCTTTATTTAAATACAGTTCATTTAGAATTTAAAAAGAAAAATGTAAGTTAGTTTTTAAAATTTAAAACAAGTACTGCTAAACAATATAGGTATTATTGTAGGTATTAGTGTACTACATTGTACTGCCAATCTAATTTTCCTTTTGGGCTATCAAAGTATGTAGCGAAGTAATCTCGGACATCTCTTGCACTAATTGTTGATCCTCTTGCAAGATTAGTCTCAGAACTTATAGATTCAAATGGACAGTGAAGTGTATCTTCATATTCTACACCATCTCGACGACGAACAAAATTGTGAATAACACATGCTGCTTTTACTATCAATGTAGCAAACTCAGGTTCAACTAAAATAGGGGTATGAAAAACTCTCCACTTGTTCGCTAGAATTCCAAACGTGCATTCCACATAACGTCTAGCTCGAGTGAGTCTCATATTAAATATTTTTTTCTTCAAATCTAAATTTTTTCTTGGGTAAGGCCTGAGTAAGTTTTCATGCAAGGCAAATGCCTCGTCTCCAACTATCACAAATGGTTGTTCTACACCATCATCATCATTAGGTAACTTTTTTTACAATGGGATGTCCAGTTGACGATCGTATAACTTTTTACCTAATGGTGACTTTTTGAAGACGTTAGGATCTCCTTCACGTCCATAAGCTCCAACGTCTATGGAAAGGAAACAATAGTTCGAATCTACTAAAGCCATTAAAATTATAGAAAAAAAATGCTTGTAATTAAAGTAGTCTGAACCACTTTTTGCCGGATTAATTATTCGAATATGCTTTCCATCAACTGCTCCAAGGCAGTTAGGAAAATTCGCATTATTATAAAATCCTTCGGCAGTTTGAATCCACACTTCTTTGGTAGGTTCCGGCATTTCTAAAGGCTGTAAGTTTTTCCATATAACACTGAGAGTTTCTTTTATTATTACTCGAACTGTACTTTTTCCAATTAAAAAGTCTAAATGCAATTGGTTAAATGTAGCTCCCGTTGATAAATACCTAAAATGATAATTCTAAATTTTACATTCTATACCAAATTACCAAACCATATAAAAATATTAAAATCATATTAATTAAGATTGTAACAAAAAAATCTAAAATATATATTATATAGGTACTCAGTTTGTCTTTCAAGTAGAATTTCTTTTTTTTTGTTAAAGAAAGGAGGACTTATGAGGAATTTTGCATTCTATTTTCAAATCTTAAATATTTATAAAAAATGTTTATAATTTTCTACCTCAAAATAATATGTATATGCACATTTTCGTGATTTTGACGGATTTTGGCATAGTTCAAGACCCTTATAAAAAATGTTCGTGGATTTACGTTCAATATATTTTTGGTTATAATTTAAAAATATTATACATGGGTACTTGAAACTTTTAAAATATATTACCTATTATATTTTATACACACAATGATATTTATTATTTTCAAATGCAATTTTCTAGGCAAAAATTAATAATTTAACCCATCTGTAGTAAAGCTTAATAGAAAAATAAATTACTTTAATCACAATAATATCATAAGAGTTACTTAGTAATATAGGTTGAGAAACAGTCTTCACAAATTTTTTTTTTATTAATTCATAAATTTACAATATAATGCTCTCATAATATCATCTTTAAAATATTATATTTTATAATATAATATCGATTGATTTCAAATTTAACCCCTTCCATTACAGTTATCCATACTTATAAGTTATAATAACCTACACAGCATGAAACGCGGTACCTACCCATTATATGTCACCTTTTTACACTTGTTTAACAAATGTACCTAATGTATAAATTTTTCATATTTAGTTATACACATTATGAGGAAATGGAAGAATCTAAAAGATACTTTTAAAAAAGAGGTTCATAAATATGAGAAATCGGGATCAGCTATGACAAAAAAAGCAAAATATTGTTATTTTGACAATCTGTCATTTTTACAACCTAATTTCGACGGAAGATCGTAAGTATTCAATAGAGATACATTGAATTAATCAGGAAATATCTAAGTGCCGTTTTAATTCAAATTTTTATAAGTGATATATTTTTAATTACCTACTTGCTAATATATTTAAATTGAAATTAATTTTGAATCTTTTAGTTCGTAACTTTTTAGATTCCAAGCGGAGGGAGGGATGAGTGTATTAATTTTACAATGATGTGTGTTTTTTATTTTTATTTTTGTGTCTGTCATCACGGTTTGGGACAGTAAAACTGCTTCGATTTTCTTCAACAGTATCTTGTTTGATGGGAAAGTGAATCTAGTTGGTGCATTCAGGAGGTCAAATTTTAAAATTCTCAATAGTTTTCAAAAGCGCCGGGAAAAACAACATAAAAATTAAGGAAAAACGGGAATTTTTACGCAAAATCGGTTTTTGGTATAACTTTAAAAAAAATGAACGTATATTCATGAAGATTTAAATAGTTGTTTATATTTGCATTTCCTATACACGATAAAATTTTAAAAATATTTTGATTTGTTTTGAACTATTTAGGAACATTCTCAGTTTCCAAATTTTTTATTTTTTTTTTCTGTAAATATCAATAAAATTTTATTTGTTGGGTAAAAAAGCTTGAAAATTTAATACAAGGCTCCTATTATATTGTTACAATGACATTTTAAAATGATTAAAAATCCTTAGTCACAGTTTTATTTAATAATCATTTAAAGTTCATATCTTAACAAAATACGTAAAAATGACGAAAATGTCCAAATTATTTTGAGTTACAAATTCATAAAAAATTTTATTTTTAAATCTAAGATTTGAAAATGTAAGACAAGATTCATCATACATTTGTCTACCTTTATGAAAAAAAAAATGTCTACAAGAAAGTCAAATCAAATTTTTATAAGCGTTTGAAATTCATATTTTTACAAAATTTGATATTCACTCGATTTCTCATTTAGTTACCCACTTTTTAGAAGTTAAATATCATATTTTTATTTTATTTTATTGGATCTGCTTTCGGAATAAATATTTTTTATTTGGTAAGTGGTAACTATATGCTATCTTTAAGTACAAAATTATATACTGACATTAACTGATTTTTAAGTTTCATAAGTATTTAGCGAAAAATAAATTATTCAAAAAACAAATATTTTGAAATTGATGACTATATAAATTTTAAATAGGTAGATTTAAATTAAATTACAAAATATTAAATTTTTCGCTTTCCTATTTATTTTTATAGTGAATAAACATAAATTGCTTTTTTAAAATTGAGATTTTACTGAAAACAAATTGTATACGGAATATACCATAAAAAGGATTTTCTTTTCTTGTCACTAACTAATAATGCAAATTGTATTTAATTGCAGTACCTCAGGAAACATGGCACATGAAAATGATAATTCGGCTGAAGAAATCAATATTGTAGATAACCTCGATTCACCGCGACGGCTTCAGACCAGGCAATGTCCCCCAGTGTCCCCAATACAGTGCCTAAACAGTCGAAGAAAAAACTATCTGTGTTTCAGGAACACGTGTTGAAAAGAGAACTAACAAAGAAGAAGTTTTTGATGGAAATAAACATTTTTTGCTTTCTTTGTTACCAGCGATGAAGAGTATGGATGATCAAAATAATATTAAATTCCGAATAGATGTCATGCAACTCTTAAAAAATATACAACAAACGATAACCAAACTTCTCAGCCTTACTCACCACATCCACTTTATACACCACCTCAGCCTTATCCACCACCTCAGCATTATACACCACATCAGCCTCAATTTCAACCATATAATATCCCTCTTCAGCCTTACACTTACACGCAGCAAACACTCGAAAGAAATCAAGAATATCCTATGGCCAATCAAAGCACTAATGATATATTATAATAATTTGTATAGATACCTGCTATAGGTACCTATATTATGGTATACCTATTATGTTTTTTTATAATATTACAAGATGTCAAAGTTATTTTGATTTTTCAATATATTTAATGATCTAATAGTTATAAAAATGTACATACTTTATAGTAATTGTCAAGCGTTCCTCTGGTGTCATTGTGTCATTTTTGAAATTCTCCATTTTTAATAAGTCAGATCTGACGATACTCAACAATTCATCAAATGTCGGCATAGACATCCGTTAAAAAGAAAAAAAACTTTTCAGGATATACACGCAAATCATCATATATTAAATGAAACTGGCCTTTTCTCTTCCTTTCCTTATTTAATGGATGAACAGAATATTTTCTTTTCTTCTGGATCTTGTTCTCGTCTTCTTCTAGTGCTACAGCAATAGCCACAAGCTCCTCAGTTGTTAATTCACTTGACATGTTTTTCGTGGTGATAAAAAACGGTAACAATGGCTGTTTTTAATATATATATATGAGTATTTTAGCTGGTAAGTACCAATTCTATACCGAAGTAGATATAACTATGACTGAATAATGAACATGTACCGTAAGTGCTCGCACATGCTATGTACATATTCTTGACGTCTTGAGCTAACCCCACCAGATGGGTGTAAAATTTTTATTATAGAATTATATTAATAACTTCGAAACTAAATTATGTCAAAATTATGGTATAAATATTTGGAAAATCGCGGCGAAAATATTGAGCGAATCCGTCACGCGAATTCGCTGTGTATAGCCAGACAGAACGAAAACCGCCGCGAAATCCGCTCGACGAATTTCGCCGCGAATATCGCCGTGTATAGCCCGAGCCACACCCCGTTGTCTGCATATCAAGTCTAATAAACTTGTCAATTCGAAAGCGATCGTTATTATATATTATTGGCTGCAGTGACGGAACTACATATGATTGAAGGCGGGATTTTCCGCGGGCCTCATCGTGAAAGGGGCCTCGGCGCCCCTCAGCAAAATTATGTACTTTTTAAAAAATTTCGGTTCAAGTAAATAAAATCATTGAATACTGAAATAATACAAAGTATACTGATAAAAGATTACTAAACGTGCATACGGATAACTATACATCATAATTCATAGTATTTAGTAGGTAGGTACTATTAATAATTAATGTGAATAATAATATTATAAGAGTATAATAATATTGTCAATTCTAGTTATTGCGATATGCGGGCATGCGGCGGCGTTACGTGGTAATTCGGAGTGGAGCCTATAATAGCTGGTATACTAAATTATAGAAATAGTAGATTATATACTACGGTCTCCGGCCCAAGAAAGAAATTATTTTTTTCATTTCATTCTAACGATTTTAATATGAGAGTGGTGTTTGAGGGTGTTTTCCGTTTGGTGTCAGAAACAACATCCAAGTTACTTAGGTAAGTAGTCTTACAATTATTTTGCATTGAAAGACAACATTAAATTGTGATTCGTTAACAATCATAGTGGTCATTGGTGTTACGTAAATACTAGAAATTTAATAGGTATTTAATTTATTAAAACTAATGGTTTTGAACATATTTATATATTTCATCTACAAAATATATTAAATTTTAAAGAAAATTAAATAACCTTATAATTTAAAATGTTATGAAAAGTATTTAGTACAATCACGTGAGTTGTCATATTACTTTTATTAAATATATCGTGAACTCGAAATCCCATATCCAGTAGGTATCGACAATCTTATTATTATACCGTGTTCGCAAATCGTCACGTTATATTATATATTTATATTGTCGTGGACGCGATTGTCACGTATTATAATATATTATACATTTTATTAGTATTTTTAACGAAGACTTGACTATTTTCCTTGACTCGCATTTAATATTTGTATACCTCCATCGAGAATCACTACATATTATTATTTATTATATTAACTCATATAACCGCTAAATAGCCATATTATTTATTATTGTTTTTATCTGTTGACTGTTGGGTCAAAATTAACTTAAAATATAATTTAAATTTATATTAAAATGACCGTGTACGCAAATCGTTTTTTTTTTTTTAAATAATAATTTAATTACTAGTTTCCCTGACTTATTAACGGCATTTTACTTGTTCCTTACATTACCAGTTACTGTGGAGAGTGCAGAAAGAACATTCTCAAAACTTAAATTAATCAAAAATTATCTAAGAAGCACCGTCTCCCAAACACGGCTTAGTGATCTTGCGATGGGCGTGCTAAGAAATTGAACTTATCGTTATTGGTGAAGAAGTTTGCTCATTGTAAATAAAATATTATTATTAGGGTTTCCGAAATTATAATTCAATAAATTATATTTTATTTTTTATTGAATCCAAATAAACAGCTCAATATTTAGAAATTTAAATTACAGATATAGGGCCTCCAAAAAAATTGTATCCACGGGCCTCAACGATTGTAGTTCCGCCACTGATTGGCTGTATGCCTGTATCCAATTACACGGTCTATATTTTATACCGGAAACTATTTATAGTTGCCTGTAGGCTGTAGCCTAAATGGAAACTTTTTCCCTTTGGAACTGACGACAAGACGCCGTGAGATCTGCTTTTGCATTACACGGTTTTAGATATACATATAACTATAACGGATTCCTAGAGTTGTACATAAAGTAGCTGAAATGCCTATCCAAAGCGCCCTGTTTAAATTTGTATTTAAAAAAATGTTTTAAAACTATTAATATAATATTATGATTTATGATTTACTGGAAAAATGATCCTAATGGAAAAACTAAATAACAGTAACGTCTTAACCGTGCTTAGTGATTTTGCTATTTTAGAAAACTAAAAAAAGTTTTCGAAAAAATTATACAATTGGAACACATATCAATGATATATCATCATATTATTCAAACACTAAATGTCCAGAATCTTAAACAAAAAAACAACTGACGTTGATAAGCTCATCAAATAATGATAATACAGAGGCTAACACTTAGTTTAGCGCCCACTCAAATTTTTAAATTTTTTTACATAATATTCTTTATATTTTATAATACTGTGGGTAATATTACATGAAGTTAATAATTAACAAGTTAACTGCCTTGAGTATCATATTTGATACACGACTAACTTGCTAGTTTTGTCTCGTACATTTTAACTACATTTGCCACAACTGCCTTGACTATCAGATATGCTTCTCACTAATCAGACGAATCTCGGTCTATGGGAATATTTTGGTCTAGCCATGTTGGTCACACTATATTTTTTGAAATATATCGATATTTTTCTTCACACGATTGATTAATTGCATGATAATAAATCGATTTTGATAAAAAAAAAAAAAATTAAAGTGAGTATCATATATGATACTCAAGGCAAGGGTGGCAAATATTGGTGAGAAGCATATTTGATACTCAAGGCGTTCGTGGCAAGATCAGTGAAATTTGAAAGGCAGTTAACTTGTTAAACGGAAACAATGCTGTGAATCTTTTGCAACGAAATATTATTTTTTCCTTTACACTAGCGTGGAGAATAACCGATTTGTTATAGTAAAATACATTATAATATTAATAACTTATTACATAATAATATTATATTATATTCATAAATTATATTAAGAACAAATTAATTATAATGCAACCAGTTAACCAGTCATCTAACTTTTCCTGACCTAATTAAACTGACATGTTGTCACTATAAATATTGTATATTTTAATTAGGGATAGTTATCAAACTCTTCAAACCCTCAAATTGTTGGTTTGTATTGAAATAACTCTACCTATCGAAATTTGGATTTAGAATGCGGAGCGATGATTATACCAGTTACACAATGGTGTGTATGTTTTTTATGAGCGTTTGAAAATCAAATTTTGATGTCTATATTATATTTTGATGTAAAATAACTATTTTTCATTAAATGATTCTTGTTATTATGTTTTAATTCAATAAATACTAATATTGTGGAAACGTGAGATATTATTATACTGTTACTTAAACAATAATAATCTTAACTAATTGAATAAGTCTTATGGACCATCTTAAATTTAGTTTTTTTTTTTTTAGTTATTGAATAGATCCCTAGACTAAATGCATAATACAAATAAGTATCTAGTTTTAAAAAGTGATAAGCCGATTTTATATTTTAGAAATTTTAATTACTTAATACTAAAATAATTATTTTGAAAAATATAGCTTGTATCTTAGATAAAGTAACTAGTATCTATATATTTTATTTAAACATAAAATTTAAATTTCAAGTACCTATATCCGGTAACCAGTATCTTTTCAAAAATGTTGAATGTAAATTGTACCTTGCATTATTCTAGAGTCAAACATCGATGTATCAGCTAGTATCTTGATACTTTTTTCTTGCCTATTATAATAATCGGTAAAAATAATAGGAATGATTATTACTATGTATCAGACGTATCTTTCTGGATTCCTATTTGTAACCCAGCCTTAAACCACCAATACAAAATATAATTTTTGTTTTAAACCATCGTTAATAAAATACAACAGCTCAATATTTATAAGCTATACATATACATATATTAAGTGTCGAAACAAAAAATTATTTTGAACAAAAGATTATTTACAGTCATAGAAAAAACAATAATAAATATACAATATCAATAACGCAGGTGACAACGAGAGTCTTGTATAACAACAGCAATGGTGTGTTGATTGATATTATAGTGAAACAGTCTTGCTATAGTCTTCATGCAAGTAATAACAGCAAGCATTGAAGTTATATAACAGGTATATGAGCTTGGATCACTAAAAAAAAAAATCGTGTATTCACACTTGTGACCAATAACCAACAAACAGCCTGAACATAACAACAGTATAGGTTAGGTGAAGTGGTGACCTTAGGTCTAGTGAATATATAACAACAGCAGTATTGGTGTGTTGATAATAGCGAAGTACAGTCTTGCTATAGACTTCATCCTCACACTAAGATTATTGTTATATTCACCTAACCTATACTGTTTTTTTTATCCAGGCTGGTTGTTTGTAGTTTGTCTCAAGTCGGTTTTAAGGCTTGATTACTGAAAAAATAAAATTATAATATTAATATTAAAAAAAAAAAAACGTCTGCAAGGTAAATTGGTATAATTTTGAATCGGCTACAACCACTTTGCGATTATTTACCCAAATTTAAACTATTATATATTCACGATTTCTCGTAATTCACGAACAATAGTTAATAGTATATATTTTATTAAGTAATTTGTGCTAATTTCCAAGTGTACTAAAAAAATAATGATAATAATAGTTTAGGTTATACTGCGCCCTGTATATTAACACAGGGCTCAGTATATACAACATAAAACTGGTATTATCCTTAGGATTCAATTATCACCAAATGTACGAAAAGAGATAAATAATTTAGTTATTTTCTTTGCAGGGGAAAATATTATTATCATGATATATTTTGGACCGATCAAATGAAGATGTCTAGATTTGCATTTTGCATA